TTTTGAAATGTACTTGTTTGAGTTAATTTTTACTGAAATCTGCGTAATGAAGCTGAACACTATGGTTATTCGTTGTTAATGTTAGCGTTTTTACAGCAGATTTCTATAGCTTGTTACTACAGCGCCTGGTCAAATTTAAGTTAATCAGTTTGACTGAATGAAGACACGGGACGTTTTTCGCAGAAGGAAGGGCACCTTTCACTGGGGAGTAAAATACTATCGCACTTTTCGCGTTACGCCCCCTTCCTTCTAATGTTACGATAAGGTTATGTAATCTCGGAAAAGTCCCTTTTGCTCTTATTAGATATTTTACCGAGATACTTGCAACCCATTTTATGATACTCACACCAAAGAAAATAATGTCGGAATTGAACCCTTCAAATGTACTGCATCCTTAGAAACTAGTGTCTCATGGGTGTTTATTGGTCGAATGTTTCTCCGACAGTTCTTTGCGAACGTAGAAGAGGCTGAGTGGGCAGTAGAAGTAATGAAGTCCACAGGGAAACCAACAGCAGTAACCTTATGCATTGGACCTGATGGCGACAGTTGTGATGTTCCTCCGGGAGAATGTGCTGTTAGACTCGCGAGGGCAGGTACAGGGAGCCAACTATAAAGGTCGACTAAGGAGGTCGGAGTAGTTTGCTACCCGTGTTCAACTTTTCCACCAGCGCAGCAGTAGCTTTGAAATTAGGCGATGTTGCTCTCTTCCAGGCTGAATTTAAATACGGTACCAAAAATGCGTTTTCCTTAGCTTATGTTTCTGACCAAAAAAGATTGGAAAATGAAGAAATTTTTAAGAGATACTCACAAACAAAGAAAGCAGTAGGGAAGAGGAGAGTCAAGGAGAAAGCGCTTCCTTAATCAGTTTTGACCCCAGAGAGTAGATTGCTAAGCCGCATGCATATACACTACTCTTACATTAGGCCTTGTGGTTTCAGGGGCTGATATAATTGGAGTCAACTGTCGCTTTGACTCAAACATCACTCTAATGACCATTGGTTTAATGAAAGACGCGTTGGATAAAGAAGGCCTCAAGCCTCATCTAATGGCTCAACCAGCTGGTTACCATACACCTGATGCTGACCGTATGGGAGCTGCTCATCTGCCAGAGTCACCGTTTGGTGAGTAGTAAGCATATGTCAAGATCTAGGTAAATAACATTTTGGCCTTTTTAAATTTGGTGACTGCGTGTTAGAACATAACTTTGACTCAACGTGTGCTCTGATTGGTCAAAATCTCGTATATTTGGTTGTATACCCATAGAAAACTGAAACATCTTCCCACCCTATCAAATGGCGCCACACGGAGAGAATTCCCAGATTTTTATTTGTTAACGCCAATGTTTGGAGGAAACGAAGAGTACACTTTGCACGCCGAAACCAAAGATTTTATGTTTATAACATTATCAAATTTCTTATTTAAAATGCAGTCCAACTAACTGGTTGCTTCGGTTTAATTCTCCGCTAAAGTTCCCCAAACTGCTCGCTGAGAAGGAAAAGTTGACAAGTTTTTGCATCAAGAAAATTGTTGTGAAAACTCACTGGATCTTCATTTAGCTATTTACCTGAGAACAAAAGCCACTTACAAAGTGATGAGGCACCCAAGATTTATAGCAATTCAATTTGCTATCCTCGATTTCAGCTTTTATTTGATACTTTTTGCCTAGTTCATGCGTTTTAATCGCTTTCTGTAAATTTTAACGAGGACTTCATGAAAGCTTTAATTCAAGCTAGGCAATAGGAAAAAATTTGGTTGAAGGAAAATAGTGAACCGCGAGTAAACAAAATAGTTGGACGGTGTTTTATCCGTGCACACGGCTCGATGTTGTTGTCTTTCGATTTTGCCGTTTTTGTCGTGCAATAATGTTATTAACGAATTTAATATTGAGTTCTCACAATCGTAATAAATTCCAGTTGTTAAAATTTCTACAAATGACCTTTATTTTGCTGAAATGGCTCCCGAGAATATTAAAACTGCTTAATAAGTTTGCCAACTTAAAAAACTTTCCGGACAGATTATCAGATCGCAATCGCAGAGGTAGGCTTATTTTGGCCTCAAAAATCGCGTTTTCTCCGTCCAAATTGAAATATTCTTTAGTAGCACTTTGTAGTTGTGCTTCGTCTTGCATTTTGCTATTTCTCGTAAGTTTTCTTTAAAATTTCTGTTTTCATTCAGCGACAACTTAATTACAGTCTTCGCTCTTCTGGCCGGCAGTTCATTCAGTTTCCGGAGCTTTGGTTGGTTTATCGCACTTTTTGATGGGTTTGAGAATCAACGACTTGATCAAAGACTTGATCACGAAATAAGATTAAATTTATCATTCTTTCTCACAAACTTAGCTCATATTTATGTCGAAAAGTTTATAAACCACTTGGCTGCGCCTCGTGGTCTCCCAACATTTCGCGTGGTTTATTAACCGGTAAACCGATGGAAAGTCTGGTTTATTGTTTAATTATGTTAACGGAGAGGAAGGTTATTTCTATGGACTTTTCATAGCTTGAACTTTGAAGGTGTTTTCACATGATACTTTCTCAGTATCAAAAAGCGAAATAGGAAAGATGCATAATCCTTTGAGTCAAATTTTGGGCAGGATATATTTTTATACGGACGTTTTTTACTCATCGTTGGGGTTCTAGTTACCTTAATTCTTTAAATTCATTATTACTAATTTATTTTCACGGAAGAGGGCCTTCATCATTTGTTAACTCGTGAGCCGATGACATGGAACAGGTAACTAACTCGTTCTACCTTTCAGCTTTGGAAGCTCGAGTTGTAACTCGCTGGGATGTACATAAATACGCTCGGCAGGCCTATGACATGGGAGTGAGATTCATTGGTGGCTGTTGTGGTTTTGAGCCCTATCATATCCGGGCTATTGCGGAAGAGGTAGGGAAAATAGTTTTTTATTAAATTATTTATATGAGTGTTTGGGAACGTATCTAAGATTAATCTCCATTTGCAGTCCATCTGGTTTGTCGCACGTCGAGCTCTTCACTTGGCGGAGAGAACTTGTCTCGTTACGACCCTAAACAGGAGCTGCGACGAGGACCAAATTGATTGAGATTATCATGACTTTCGAACTCCATTAAACCAAGCGTGGAAAAAGTAACTGGGTCAAGAATTTTCCTTTAACCTGATAAGTTGAACGCGATTAAACTGACTTTGAGGCCCAATGGAGCCTCCGCACCATGACGTGTCATCTTAGTTGTCCAACTTCCGAAAGGGAATCTCGCCGCCACGTCATCCCACAAATCAGTGTTCTTAAGAAAAAAATATCCTTTCATCTTACATAATTATTCCTGTAACAAGTGCATGATGATGATTTTAGCAACACTTTGACGGAGCGCTCCTTCTTTGCTTTTGCTTTAGTTGGCTCCTGAAAGAGGCAAGTTACCAGCCGCAAGCGACAAGCACAGTCCTTGGGGAGAGGCTCTTAAACACCACTCACAACCAGAGATTCGAGCGAGGTAATTGCGTGGGTGACAGGGTTGGGTTAGGGAGAGGGGGTGGGGTAAGTCTTCGAGGGAAACGAACAGTTAAGCTGCTTCGGCATACAAGTGCAACAATTAACGGATTGTCGTCATGGAATAGAGAAAGTTAGATAGCTCGCCTAAGCGAATTTTGACTCAAGCACAAGTCCTTCGTCCGAAAAGTGGAGGATGTGAGTTATTTCTGCTTGTTTGTTGATTGGAGGGAGAAGGTATGCTATTAAAGTAAGCATGGTAACAGATGATGTTCTTTCATTTTGAATTTTTAATTATAACTATCTTGACATCTTTATTACTCTAGAGCCAGTAGAGCCTACTGGGAAAATTTAAAACCAGCCAGCGGTCGGCCGAATTGCCCGGCATTGAGTGGACCTGGAAGACTGGGTTTATTTCAGTGAGAATGTATGGTTAATGATAAAAACGTTTCAAAGGAAAAAAAAAATGGAAATCGTATTTTACTTGTTGGTTAACCAATCGTTTAGTATTAAGGTTAAACAGGTGTGGTCATTACCAAGGCGACAAAGGTTAATTGTATAAAATACCAAATGCTTGCGCTTTGACAGATCAGTACTCCATACTATCAAGGTTTACATAAAGGTGCAAAACGTGAAACACGACGCACTTGAAAGTGGATCGACATAACGTAATACGTTAAGGGGGAATAAGCTAAAATGAACGCAATTGTTATCTTATCTTAGTTATCAAGCTAAGTGACGAGACATCGAGGTCAGATATTAATGTATGATCTTATTTATGAGGTCGCAAGAAAAAGGACGTCGTTTTGTATGAATAAGAATGAATGCATAAATTTTTTAAGCCTAACACCTCAACTTGCTGATTGATGTTTTTAGCGCTATTTTTTTAATTATTGCACCAATTAAAAGTGTGGACTACCATGTCGATGGTTTCTTGTCTCTTTTCTCTTCTTACAGCTGATTCCGAGCTTAAGCCAGCTTCAAACAGTGCCCGTGAAGTTCTGAAAGTAACCAGCTTCGCTAATTTCAGTTTAAGCAGCCTCTTCTATCGCTTCTTTTGAGTGGCTACTACGCTTTGGAATAACAATTCTTTAAACCATGGACATCCGGTTGCTTAAATACCCTTTGGTTTTTAGTTAACCGTGAGAATGTTTCGATTCGTTAGGGGACATTTGTGGTTGTTTCTTTGTGGGGATCGTTCTAGGGACAGGATGAAGGGCGGGCTTATGGTGAATAACTGATGGTTTTTATTATTTTTTTTAAATTTTTTTTTTTATTATTATTTACTTCACTGACTTAAAAGAGAAGAGAAAGGTAAAACTGTACTTTTATGCCCAATTGACGAATTTCGGTTTCTCAAGCGTAGAAATTTGTCGGCTGGGAGTGCTGCGTGAAAAGAGAACTGAGAAAAATATAGGGAAACTTGTTCTTCCTCGTGATCAGCAAGCCCGGTAGATCACAAGTCACAAATATATTTTTCTGTACCAATAATCGTGTTTTAAACTTTACAACATGACTTGCGGACAAACCAACGACATAAAGTTTGAAGGTTTTTATAAATCACATTGTCGTTACATTACAGTTTAAAATGTAGAATTGCAGACTAGAAGAATATTGAAAAGCATTTGAACAACTAATTGGTTGCTACTGTTCGAAAATGTCTTTAGCTGGAAAGTATTCAGGTATTTTTTTTTAACTAACTACAATATGCTTATTACATCTAAATAATCTTGTTCTTTGACTTGATTACGCATGCTTTACCATGGCATCTGCAAAATAGAAATCGCAAAGAGTATAGTTTGTAAGATTGCATCAATTATCAGAAGAGGGTTCGAAGCAAATAGTTGCAAAGCTAAATGTAAATGGGGAGACGGGGAATTGGATCTTAAGTTTCACGCACGAAACTGATCGACAGTTTTTTTTTTAAAAAAAGGGAGAGTTAGAGAAAGTTTTATTTGTTTGGCTCACCTTCCTCTCTCTTGCAAAAGGTAATTAGCAATATTGAAAATAAAATGAAAATGCTTTTGACTTAACAAATAGGCAATTAAGAAAAATTCGAATAAAAGATATTTACGAAATAAAACAAACGGAATCTTCTGTTTCTGTTTGTAAGGCAGAAATTTTTAGCGGCCAACGTACTTATAAACTATACGCTCATATGTAAAGAAACTGTACGCTTGCTATGTGATTGGTCGCTATTGATAATCTAATGGAACACAGACAGACAACTGACTTGATTACGAAACCCTTTTTGCTTGGTCTTCTTTTGGTGATGGTTTGTAGATTATCTCGCGTGTGAGCAGACAAAATTGTCGAGAAATGAGCACTTCATGACCACAATGATAACAGTTAAGGAACTTAAACTAGAAAAAAATCTTCGAAAGCTTGAGATTGAAGTTATTGTTTATCTCTATTTAGTCTTTAAAAAATTCATTCCATTTTCACACATTACTAGGGCATCAGTGGTGCCCTAGATCACTGCTCGTATGCTATTACGTTGTCTCTTTTCTAACACATTTTTACTTCTGTGATCTTTAACTCAGGCACAGACGCACGACACTTTTATTTTTTCTCAGTTTCAGTATGAATACATGATTTAAGAAGCCAAATGTTTTACTAGGAAAGACTTGCTGAACCTCAAGTTTTGCTAGATGTTAAATATTTTGTCAAATAGCAAATTTTACTCTAAACGTTGATTTTTAACTTACATTGATACGTTGTTCGAAAACTAGCAAGGGAAACGCCAGTGTCCTATTTCTTACCTCGGTTATCCGATGGCCTTACTCTCTATAAAACTCTCGCAGTTCCTCTGTTCCGAGCCTCCAGTTGTCTCTTTGATTAAATTTTCTCCTGTTTTCTGCAAAGCTGATTTTTCTTCGGTTTTTAAACAATTCTTCAAGTTCGTTCTGTAACGGTACGAACGCTTTTTTCCCCACCCTCAAATGGCTTGATGTCTCACTTGTTAGTAAAGCGAAAACAGCGAGAAAAACCAGAAATGCAGCATTTTTCTTTGTGGAAGCCATTTATATCTCACTAGACCTTGAAATCAGAGATAAAAGGAAATAATATTTTGATTTTTGAACACAAGAAACTGATTATTTTCCAAAATTTACCTCGACAGAACACCTTGCCTTTCAGCGTTCCCTCCGATTTTCAGAAGAATTAAATCAGGTTAGCAGAGTCACTCTGTTTTATGTCCTCAGTTGAACACGCTGATTTTCATATGCTGACCGGAAAATGCTTCTTCAATTTTCGGAGGCCGATTTTTTCTTAAACAGCTTTAATTTCTTTGTTTGTGGTCGTTCTTTCCTTTCAGACAGCTGTGCGGCGAGTATTTTTGCGTTTCTAGAAGAAAGTGACTGTGTCGAAAGAAATAATATTTTTTGTTGCAAGTTTACTGTCTTTAGACATTTTAACGTTGGTTGTGTTTGCCCTCTTTTTCGTTGATTGTGTTTTTTTAAACTGAATAAAACTGAAGAGCTCACCTTTTTCTTAGACTCGAAAGATGATTCCTGTCGTTATTTGTTTTATTGATATTGAAAGCTCGGAGTTAGGTTTGATTTGACTAATTTCTATGCGGAAATACGACCAAAACTAAAAACATCGAAGTTAATGTGTGTAAGTCAATGCAACGGTTATAATTATAACATTAGTGTCAGAAAATGGGATACACGAGTGCGATTTTGTTGCTGTCAAATGTTTAAGGTTCCGTAAACTTTTGATCGTTTCATGCTGTGTTATTGCTCAACATTAATTTTGCACAGTAGCCCTTTCCTCTTATCTAAATTGACGAATAAAGTAAAATATTTTTCTATCTTGTGGATTTAGCCGCACGCTCTTTTAAGTTTGCGACTTAGTTAAACAAAATAAACGTTTAAAATTTACTGTTTAATGCTCATCATTTATTACTGTCAAACTTTGTTTGGGCAACAAAACGGATACGAATCAGTGAAACATATCTCAAAGCTCTCATTTAAAAACTACATTAGCAGTGTACATCTTACAGTGAAAATTATGAAGCAAAATTCAAACTAAGTCGCGAAATACGAAAGCGAGAAGGTAATTAAAAAAGGTGCTTAAAAAAGCAAAGCAAGAATGCCGCTTAGATTTTGTAACCTTTTTTCATATGAAAAACTGTTTGCGAAAGAAAAGCTTCACAACTAAGAATCCCTCCTAAATTCTATGCTATTCCTGATTAAGGACAGGAAAGGAAGCCTTAACTTTTTTTTTCACAATTTTAATGACGGAGGTTTCTCAAGACTAAAATAAATTTAGCTATGAGACAATCTTTAAATTTTGCGTTATGATTTTATTTTCTTTTTCTTCGGCTTTTTCTTGAGATATTCTTTGTTACTGTGTATTATTTCCTAAGAGTTTCCGATGTGTTTTGTTGATAGACAAACGAAGCAATTGCTTGTAATGATAACTGATTGTAAGTGCACTACCGCTTAGGAAATGAAAGTTATTTTTCTATCGACTCTGTGTTTACCTTAAGCACGTGCCATTTTTAATTTCCTGAGTTGTAAAAACTGGAATATTCAAGGTTTTATTAACTGTTAGATATGAAGCTACACCGCCTTTAATTAGAAACGTAAATGTAGCTGTGTGCATAGGTAAATACATAAGGAAACTCCAATTTGGTACTATTGTTATGCGGTAAAAGAAGTGCATTAAAGTCCCAGTCAAGGCTATCCGCTTTGTATACAATATAAGATAATAGCTCAGTCTAACCATGAAAAATATGAAATGAATTCACTATGACTTACTGTTTATTTTTCTTGGCTATAGAATTGTTTCTTTTGTCTTGATTACTGGTAGAGAAAAGGACATTAGGACCCTACCTAACGCTCGGTTTGATTCACGCAAACAACTTAGTCGGTTTTCCTCTCGATGTGCTTACTGTTAATTTTCGGGGGCCAATTTATTCAGGGTCTTAAATTTTATTTCCTTTATTTTTAGAAACTGCGACACAACATTTTTACATATAGACCAGTCTAAAAATATCGATGACTTTCCTCTCGATTTTGTCGAGATGAATGAGAGAGTTACATGGGAAGACTTTAGATCGGAACACGCACTGTGATATCCCCGGGAAGAAAGGCAGACTGAGGCTGTCAAAACATTCACATGAACATTTGGCGCTTTTTCGTGTCTTTTATTACACCAGAGGTAATTAAATAATATTTCAAACATTTTCCAACGATCCCATTTACCCCAAAACTTACAGCTCCTTGTAACAAAGTGAAGTGACAATTCTTGACGATTTAATCGACTGAAAAATGAGGTAAATTTTTTCTTTCTTTTATTACTGTTTTTTTCTTTTTTTCAAAGTGAGAGGCATTACATTCCGTCCATCAGATTTTTAATTCACTCTTTTAAAAAGGATAACTTTCTTTTCGGTACTAATTTGCAGAAACTGAATTAAAGTACCGGATATTTTTTTGTGAACACTTGTATATTTAGTAAACTTAAAACTAGAACATCTTAACAGAAGCTTTTGAATTTACTTCTCAATGAGAAGTCCTCTAATGTTAGAGTTTCAAAAGATGCAATCGAACCACAGTCGTCCCCAGTGGTGGATCCTGACCTTGAGCTAAGAAGGGGGGGGGGGCGTTTTTTGTCGCTTACCCTGTCGGCTTTTCTTCCTTCTGCGAATTTTTTTATCCAAAATAAGGAAGAGGGGGGGGCCCCTCCCCTAGATCTGCCACTGGTCACCTGCAATAACAGAACAGACGTACTAAATAGAATATAGGTGAGATTAACATCATCCTATACTTGTTTATCGTAATCCTGCAGCTAGATGATTTACAGTCAACTTGAAAGAGACTTTGCACTTTTCTTCTTTATCAATACACATGTTTTAAGGTTAGTTTTATTTGTATTTTGTATAGTCTACTGAGCCACTAACTGACAAAGTTAAACCGATTACCACATGCTACGTTTACGAGCAATGACTGAAACATTGGTCAAAACTGAAAACCTTCACATTAAGTTTGTTGATTCTAAATTTCTAACAGCCCTTTCTCTCACCACCAAAAAGCTGAAAATTCAACTTCAGAGCCCAAATGTGAGGTTAATACACTAAATTACATCCTAAGTCTTTACAATAACAGTTTATCTATTTTGGCTGATGACCTTCAAATTGCTCACGCCTGAATATTAAAGCAGTGTTGTGGAAAAAGATTTGAGCAAGCCGTTCACCAAACTTTATGTTACATTGGCTCCTGACGTAGACTATAAATTAGCTTTGTGGTCTTCGTGGTTCCTTTGCAATCGTTACTGCCTTAGTAACATTTTTAAACCAAAGACGCAAATCAAGTAAGAATTGACAAAATATTGTCATCTCAAGGTTTGTCACACAATTATCATCTTTCGAAGCCTTTGGGCACGAAAGTACAACAGTTTCGGAGAAACTTAACTGCAAGTAGAGCCCTAGCGGAGCATTTTCAAACAATGTTATGCACATTTTATCTCATCTAAAGACTTTCCATTCATGGCGGCGTCTGGAGATCCCACGTCTTACTACGTCGTCTCATTTATTTCCACTATAATGCTTTTTGTCGTGATAAATGCAAATTTTGCTGTGGATCGTGAATTAAATAGGCTACCCGAGCGGGGGCACCTCTGGATAATACACGCACTGGACGTGGAAGGACTGGAAGGAAAAAAGTCAACCAAATGGCTTCAGAGAGGCAGCGAAGAAAAATGGTACAGAAGAAAACAT